CCCTGGGGACAGCTGCCGGTCGTGTTCTCACCTGCAGCAGCCACCTGTGCCATGCGCGGTAGGGTTCATGCCTCTACCAGCGGCCGCTCCCTCACACCTCCTCTCCTCCCCTTCTCCTCTTCCCTTTCCCCGGCCTACGCTCCTACCTTCTTTCCCTGCTCCCTGTTCCCCTTCCCTTCCCCACCCCCCTCAGCGACACGCCCCTGTCGGAGGCGGTGAGTGGCTGCTGCGTGCTGCTGCTGGGCCCCTCCGCGCGCTGCCTGCCGCCCGACCAGCTGATGGTGCTGTGGGGCGGGCTGGAGCTGACGCCGGATTGCCCGCTGCGGGCGGGGGAGCTGCGGAGGAGGGAGATGGGGGGGGCGGGGGAGGAGGTGGAGGAGGAAGAGGAGGAGGGCGAGGGGGAGGCGGAGAGGGGAGGCGAGGAGGAGGCGGGCGGCAGGCGGGGGGGATCACCCAGCAGGAGGCTGGACCTGGACTTGATGTGTGAGCTGGTGAGAGGGAGGGGAAGGGCAGGGATGGAAGAGGAACGAATGCGTGTGAGGGGGGGGGAGGGGTAGCAGGGACAGAAGTGACGGCACCTGACCACATCCTTCGCCGCACTCCATACCATACCCCATTCGCCTCCCTCCCCTCCCCCCTCCACCCTCCTCCCCCCCTGTCAGGACCCCGGCGGCTCCCTGCAGCTGGCTGCCTGGCGGGGCCGCGTGTCCGGCCACCGCAGCCTGGCGCAGCTGCGCCCCGGGCAGTTCTCCGGCCAGGCCGCCTCGCCGCTCTACCTGGCGGCGCTGCGGGGGCATGCGGGGGCGGTGCGGGAGTTGATGCAGTGGGGGGCGGACCCGGGGGCGGGCAACTGTGAGTCTGGGAGGGAGGGAGGGAGGAGGGAGGGAAGGAAAGGGTGTTGGCAAGGCTGGTGGGCTGCGGAGCGGGGGGCCCAGGCCTACCTCAGGCCTGCTGCTGTTGCCGGTGCCACCTACACCTGCGTGGTTCGCTGCCTGCCCTGTCACTCCGCCTCCCGCCTCCTCCTCGCCCTCCTGCGGCCTCCTTCCCACCCCACCGTCACCCCCCCACCCCACCCACCCACCCCCCGCAGGCGGCCTGCCTGACAGTGCCGAGTACATCGCGGCGCTGCACGGGCGGGAGGAGGTGGTGCGCGTGATGCTGGAGCTGGCGGCGGGGCAGATGGTGGCCAGGGGGGTGCGTGCGGGGGGGGGAGCGGGTACCGGTAGTGGCAGGCGCCTGTGGGGCATGTCCCCAGCTAGTGGCGGGCGGGTTGTAGCGGGCGGGTTGTAGCGGGCGGGTAGGGTTGTAGCTACCGGTAGTATGACGGAGGGGTGTCGCCGCGTCCCTTGCGCTGTGTGCACCTCGTTTGGCCTGCGGTCCGACCCACCTCCCCTCCTTCCATCCTCCTCTCTCCCGCCGCTCCCTCCCCTCCAGCACACCGCCTCCCAGCAAGGCCGGCGGCTGCACCAGCTTGTTCATGAGACGGGCGGCAGCCGCAGCCTCTCGCTGGGCTGCTACTGCGCCTGCGCCGCCGCCTGCACCCGCCGCGTGACGCTGCTGGCGGCCCCCGGGCCGCGGGAGCTGCAGCTGGTCCGGGAGCTGGCGGGCAGTCCGCTGCTGGCGGCTGCGGGGCGGGGGCACGAGGGGGTGGTGCGGGCGCTGCTGGAGGCGGGCTACCCGGCGGATGTGCAGGTGTGTGTGTGTGGGGGGGGGGGTAAAACTAAGGAAGGGGGGGAGGGGGGGCCCGCCACTGCTGGTTGGATGGAGTGTTGTGGGATGTGGCAAAGGGGCCCTTATGCTTCTTTGCCGTGTCCTTAAGCATACCTTCAAGACATCATGCGGACAGCAGTTCCCTTTACCACGCGTTGGATCGTTGGACGCGTGATTAACCCATACACCTCCCCTCCCTCCTCCTCCTGCCCCCCCCCTTCCCCTCAGGACCGCACCGGCGACAGCGCGCTCACCCTGGCCGCCTCTCGCGGGCACTGCGGCGTGGTGCGCTGCCTGCTGGCTGCAGGTGCCGACCCGCGGCACCGCTCGCTGGACGGCGAGCAGCCCATCCATGCGGCGGCGGGGGCGGGGTGCGTGGAGTGCTGCCGGCTGCTGCTGGCGGCGGGGGTGGACCCGGACGTGCAGAGCGACATGCTGCTGCCGTGCGAGGAGGTCGGCAGGCTGGTGAGGCGGGCGGGGGGGGAGAGGGGGAGAGGAGGGGGTAGAGGAAGCGACTAAGGAACCGTGTGATAATGCGTCAGCATGGTTTGGGCGGGGCGGGAAGCAGGAGGGAGGGAGGGAGGGAGGGAGGGAGGGTGGTGTGGGTGGAATTGGTGTGGGAGTGTGTTCTTACCGGCATTTACCGGCATGTACGGTATCCCTGCTTGTCCGGTGGGTTGTTTGTCTGTGTGGAGGCGCACACCTGTGTGTGTGTGCCCTGCCCCGCAACACCACCGCTTCCTCCGACCCCCCCCGTCCCCTTCTCCTCTACCACTCCTCCACCACTCATGATGCACTTACCTGTACTTTCCCCCCAGGCGGGTCGCAAGTTCCGCAACCTGTCGGAGCTGGGTGAGTGGTTCCGGCGCCAGTCCCGCCCCGCCCGCTCCGCCGCGCTGGAGCACGCGGGGCTGGTGGGCGGCTGCACGCCGCTCAGCCTGGCGGTGTGCAGGGGGCACCGGGGGGTGGTGGAGCTGCTGCTGGAGGCGGTGGGATGCGGGGGAGGAGGAGGAGGAGGAGGAGGAGGAGGGGGAGCGGCGGGGGGGCAGCAGCCCCTGACAAAGGTACGGGGGAAAGGAAGGGGAAAGGAAGGGGAGTGGGAGAGAAAAGGGTAATTGTGTCCGAGAACAGGAGTTGGGCAAGGGGACGTGGTTTACCACTGACCACCCGCCATGCACCCATGCCCCTCCCGTCACTCCCACCTCCCCTTCAGCCTTCTCCCCTCTCCCTCTCCCTTCTCTCGCTTCTCCCTCCTCCCTCCCTCCCCCTCGCTCAGGCCCGGGCCGACCTGCTCCAGGCGCTCCTCAGCCTGGCCACCGGCCAGGGCAGCACCGCCATCGCGGCACTGCTGCTAGACAGGCTGCAAGCATACGGCAGCGGAAGCGCCGCCGCCGCCGCTACCGCCGCCGCCGCCAGCAAAGGCGGCGGCGCCGCGGCGGCGGCGGGACTCGGCAGTCGCGCCGCCGGCACCGCCACTCGCTCCCGTCGAGCGGTACGGGAGGCGAATGGAAGACGGGGAGGCGCTGTGACAGCGGCGGCTGGGGCGGGGGCGAGTGGGGACCCTGACTCGCTGTTTTCCTTCCCTGATGACTTGAAACAGCCCACTGAGCGGGTAGGGTCGGGACGGGCGGCGAGGAAGGCACGCGCGCGGGCGGCTCGTGCTGCGGAGGCTGCAGCCGCTGCTGCTGGCAAGCAGGAGACCGGTAAGGACAAGCAGCACGCTCAGCAGCAGCAGGGCGGCGAGGCGGGCGGCAAGCAGCAGCCCCAACAGCAGCAGGGTCGTGTGGCGGAGCACGCGGGGGTGCAGCTGCGGGAGTACATCCTGCAGGAGCGGCAGCAGCTGAGGAGGAAGCTGGGGCTGGATAGGGAGGAGGAGCAGGCGGGGCAGCACCAGCAACAGCCGCAGCAGCAGCAGGAGAGGAGGGCGGCAGCAGGGGGAGGAACAGCCGCGGCGGGGGGGAAGGGCGGCAGTGGCGGAGCCGCAGCTGCTGCCTCTACAGCAGCGGATTCCCATGCCGCCTCGGGTTCCGCCGCTGGCGGTGGTGCTGGTGGTGGTGAGGGCCATGGCCCCGAGTTCCACTGCCGGTGCTGTCTGCGGCCTGATGCGCTGTCGGAGCCGCTCCTGGCGGCGGCTGGCGCAGCCAGCGCAGCAGATGCAAAGGGAACAGCGGCAGCAGCAGCAGCTGGCGCAGCTAAGGGAAAGGGTACAGGCGGCAAAGCAGGAAAAGCGGCGGCAGCAGCAGGAGGTGGACGTCAGGGCGGCGGCGAAGCCGCCTCCACCTCAGTACCCGCCTCCACCTCCTCCAAGGTGCGGTGTTGTGTCGACCCGGCCGGCGGTGCGGTGGGTCCCCGCCAGCGCCGCCTCGCGGTGCGCTGCAGCTCCGGCTGCTGCCTGGACTACCACTACCCCGACTGCTGGCGCCAGCTGGAGGCCCTGCTGCGCGCCGCCCGCCCCGCCGACTACCCGGGCCTCAAGGCCGCGGCCGCCTCCTCCCGCAACCACGCCGCGCCGCTGCGCTGCTGGGCCCCCGGCTGCGGGGGTGCGGTGCTGAGCGCCAGTGTGATGGAGGGGCCGGCGGAGGCTCCCAGGTTCCGGCAGCAACTGTACGCGGCGGCACCGCAGGCGGTGGCGGCGGCGGTGCAGGCATCGGCGGCGGGCGGGGCTGCGGCTGCTGGTGTTGCTACTGCCGCCACAGCAGGGGTAGGAGGAGGAGGAGCAGCAGCAGCAGGAGGTGGTGGTGGCAGCAGCAAGCACGCTGGCAAGCCCAGCAAGGCTCAGCATGGCGCTGCTGGTGCTGCTGGTGCTGCTGGTGCTGCTGGTGCCGGTGGCGGGGGCAAGCAGCCCTGGCAGGAGCAGTCCTGGTCGTACTACGAGGCGTACGAAGAGGAGTACGATGATACTGTGGAGGGCGGCGACCAGGAGCAAGAGCAGGGGCAGGGTCAGAAGGGGCAGGGGCAGAAGGACAAGGAGGAGGGCGGCGGCGAGAAGGAGGAGCAGGAGGAGGAGGGGCCTCGTGCTGCGGACCTGGTTGACCTCTCCGCTGTCAAGCTGGTGCCGCTGAACCGGCGGGAGCAGCAGGCGGGGGGGTTGGAGGCGGGTCTGGAGGGGCTGGGGGGGGCCGGGCGGCAGCAGGGGGGCAGCGGAGGGGGAGCAGGAGCAGCAGCTGGGGAGGAGGTGGAGGAGGAGGCGATAGGAGAGGTGGAGGCGGCACCGCTGATGGGTGGTGGCGGAGGAGGGAAGGGCGGGCAGAAGAAGCGAGGTGTGAAGCTGACGTTGACGGATTTGTACAGGGAGGAAGGGGGGGCTGGGGAGGCGGCGGCAGGAGCGGGGGATGAGGATGGCCAGGAGGGCTGGCAGCAGCTCAGGCAGCAAAAGAAACAGAGCCGGAAGCAGCAGCAGCAGCAACAACAACATGAGGACAGCGCCTGGCGGGAAACGGGCGCCGTACCCTTTGCCGTACGGCCTGTGTGGGATCGCACCGGTAGCGGCAGTGGCGGCATGGGTGAGGACGGAGCTCCCATGTACGGCAACAACTCCGCCGCCAACCGCCATGCCCTGAACCACAACCACCACCCCCAGCAGCAGCACCCAGGCGCCCGACAGCACCTGGGGTCCGCCTTCACCTCCTCGGGGAACAATGGCAGCAGCACCATAGGCACCAGCAACCACAGCAACAGTACGGGAGTTGGGGGCGGCAGCGGTTCCGGAGCTGCCCGGCGGCCTGTGATGACGGAGGAGGAGTTCCCGTCGCTGCTGCCCTCCTCGGGTGCGGGTGCGGGTGGCGGTGGGGGCGGTTGTGAGGGCGAGAAGGAAGAAGACCCCATCGTCCGGGCGCTTCAGCTGCTCAAGGTGAGGTGGAGGGTGGGAGCTGGGAGGGTGCGGAAAGATAAGGGGCAGGAGGGCGGCGGGTGGGGACTGGGTGCGGCAAGAGAGGGTCCAGGAGGGCACGTACATGTGCGGTGTAAGTGTGGAACAGGGGGTGCCGCATGCAGCCCCTGTTAACAATCCCCACTTTATCATACACGATACACCCACCTCAAACGTCCTCCCATCTCCTCCCGCGGCCCTCTTCCCGATCCGGTGCCCCTGCAGGTCCCCAGCCCCGACATCCTCACCCCCCACCTGCTCCTGGAGGGCGCCTGCCTGCGACACCTCTACACCGCCATCTTCCGCGGCCTACCCCGCTTGGCGGACGCGCAGCTCGCCTCCGTACTTTCCCGATACGGCCCCATGACGGCATTCCAGTCCTTCGAGGCCGGCGCCGCGGTGGCAGCCAGCTTCCGCTCGGAGGACGTGGCGTCGGCGGTGGCGGCGGGGCTGGGTGCGGGCGACGCCGCGGGGCTGCTGGGTCCCGGCAGCCTGGCGGGGTGCGGCGGACTGGAGGTGAGCTGCCTGCTGGAGTTCCCGAGCGATGACGCGCTGGCGAGGGAGATGCTCCAGGCGGAGCGGGCGGAGAGGTTGGAGAAGGCGGCGGCGGGAGCGGCAGCGGGGGGTGGAGGGGGGTCGAGGTTGAAGGTGGACGCTGCGCCGTTCGTACCGCGGGGAGGGGCGACAGGCGCAGCGGTACCGCAACAACCGCCGCCGCCGCCGCCGCGGGAGGTGCGCGCTCCGCCTCTGCCGCCGCCGCCACCGCCGCCGCCGCATCTCAAAGGCGCAGCGGCAGCGGCGGCGCAGGAAATGCTGGCTGCCGCAGCAGCGGCACGAGTTGCTGCAGCGGCGCCGCCGCCGCTTGTACCGCCGCCGCCACCACCGCCGCTGGCGTCACGGCCGCGGTCCTCAGCCGGCGCCGCAAGTTTGACGGCGGCGGTGGCGGCGTCGCCCGCCGCTGCGGCTCTGGCGGCGGACATCCTGAACCGCACCTTCAGCAGCCGCAGCAGCGGCGGGAGCAGCGGGGGCAACGGCGTCGCCCTTCCTGCCGCCGCCGCCCTTCAGCAGCAGGAACAGGAGCTTTGGGAGTTTGACTTGGCGCCCGCACCCCCGCCAGCAGCCGCACCCGAAGGTCGGCTGCCGCGTAACGCCAGCCCCGCATTCCTCCCTGATCCGCCCCAGGACACCCCGCCCCTCCCCTCCATCTCCCCCTCCTTCACGCCATCTCCCCTACCTGTGCCCTCCCCAGCTCCCTCTCCGGTCACCGCTCCCTTAGATGCCCCGTCGCCGTACCCCCTCGCGGTTTCCTCCCCAGTTCCGGCGCCGCCGCCCGCGGCCGCTCCTGCCGTACATCCGCAAGAGCTACAACCGCCGCTAGCTGCCGCCGCCATCTCCGCCCCGTCATTGCCGCTCTCCGCCGCCGCCGCCGCTCGAGCCGCCGCGCTGCTGCACATGATGCCCGGGGCGGCTGCCGTACCTGCAGCAGCGGCACCCGGCGGCGTCCCAACCGCCATCGCCACCATCACCCCCACCGCACCCGCATACGGCGCTGCAAGGCCGCATGCTGCAGGCAACAGCGCCACTCGGCTGGCCATGCCCTGGCTTGCGGTGCCCTCGGCTGCTGGGTACCCGGGGGTGGCTGGGTATCCTGCCGGGGGGGTGGGGGCAGCAGGAGCGGCGACTGCGGCGGAGAGGGTACTGCCGCCAAACATTGCCGCGGCGGCTGCAGCAGCCACTGCGGCGGCGGCGGCGGCGGCGGCAACGAGGACGACCACGGCAGCGCCGGTGCTGCAGCCTGCGCTGCCGGTCGCCCCTGCAGTCGCCCCTGCAGTCGCCCCTGCTGTTGCGACTGAGGCGGCGGTTCCTGTGGCAGTCGTGGACAGCGGGGCGCACCTGGAGGTGCCGGAGGTGGGAGGGGCGGCCATCGGCGCGGGCAAGTGTGACATGGAAGCAACGCAGCCTGCTCCGGGGGCGGTAGGGGAGGTGGATGTGGATGTGGAGGAGGAGGAGGATATGTTGGCGGATGTGTTGGGGCTGTGCCTGGGCTAGTGGGGTTTAGAGGGCAGAGCCCAGTGTTAGAAGGGTAGAAGGTAGGTTTCAGGAAGCTTAGATACAAGGTTCGGGTTGGGCCTGCAGTTAGGACTTAGGAGACGTTGCAAGGGGTAAAGGGGCTGTCCTCCTTGCGACGGCAAGGGCTAGCTGCAGGTTGTTGTTGTGCGTTCTGCGCCGTACATGTGATGTGGTGCCGTGATTGCACGACATGTGGTGTCGTACATGGATGGATTGACATGCGCGGCCCACATGCATACTTGGCTTTCTTAGCGCCGGTAGGCTTACGCAGGAGAGGCTCTAAAACCTTGCTGAATGATTTCGTTTTATGGATGAAATGTGAGAGAAAGGAGGGCAGGTAGGGGCAGCTGACTCGATTGCTAAGGATGTGTCGCGTTCTTAACTGCTGTCGTACTTTGCACGTGTATTTGAATACAGTTTCCCCAAGGCAGGTAGCTGTTTGGCGTTTGGCAGTATGTGTGGGCGGTATGTTTTGGCTGCTGCGAGGCGGTTTGCGGTTGTGGTTGCAGGGGTTAGCTTGCAGGTAGGGCCTTCTGTCGCCCGTTTACCGAAATTGCAGGGATGTCTATCGCTTACCTTGTAGTCCATCACTGGTGTGTTTAGGTTTTAGATTTTGACGGAGCAGCTACCGGTACGGTACGGTACTACAGTGGTCCTTTTGCGGGGTTTGATTCAGCTATGCAAGACTGGCATGGCCTATACGGCATGGCGTGATTGCTGTTAGGCCTAACCAGCTAGGACTGGAAATTTAGGGTTTACTTGGTGACGGCTATGGATGTCATAAGTTGTCAAAAGCGTAGGATACCTTGGATGCAGGGTTGGTTATAGCACAGCTAACGGGCGCTTTGCTGGTCGCCTCCTTGACATGGCAGGACACGGGTTTTGTTGGCGTTCAGGCCCCAATTACACTTCCGTACTGTTGGTTAGCGTTATACTGGGTTGAGCAACGGCAGCCGGCTAGCATGTTGGAGTGCTGCTGATTGGCGCACGCTTGGCACCCTTCAACTGGTGCGGGGTAATCCATTTCCCATGAAATCCTTCGCCGGGGGGCCACGTGTGGGTAAGGACTTTACATGTACCGGGATATACCTGCCAATGGTTAGCAGGATCGGGCCGCCACGTCAGGGTCGTTCATGGGGCTGGGATCACGCAAGCAACGCAAGTGAGTTGAGAACATGCTTGCATGGGGCGGCGCCCTACACATGCAGGCAGGCAGGCAGACAGCGCCCTACTCAGTTCGGCCTCCAAGTGTCGCACCCTGACGGCTGCCACGGGACCAACCCATGTGAGGCAGTTGGATGCCGCGGCTTTCGTACAGATATATTTCCCTTCGTCCATTTGGTAGCCTTTCGCCTCTTTCTACTTCTACCTAGCGCCAACGTGTGTGGCTTCTAAATAGTCGCTTTGAGGCCCCTAGGATAGTAGCCCGTTTCATTTTGGTAGGGCTTTAGTAATTTAGTAATCAGCTGCACGCATCTCACTGCACTCCATTTCTCACTAAACTTACGTCGATTCGCGTTTGCCGGTATATGTTTGCCGTGCAAGCTTTGTCACGCGTTTTCGGTGCGGCAGTATGAACCGAGATACCGATATCGTTTACACCCGCCTTCCCGGGACGAAGGTAACCGACGAGCACTTAATAGCCTGTTCGAAGCTGTTTTCCGAGCATTATGGATTGTGGGGCCGGCAACCCGACCCCAAAGCTCCTGGACCCAAGCCCGGCTCACGAGTCCGTTTGAGTCCTGAGCGACTCCGGCAACAGAGCCTCTACGACCCAGAGCGCTGTAGCCTAGTTACCGCACACCTAGGCGACGAGCTAATCGGCCACGCCTTCGTAACCGAATTCGAGTACGGCAGTTTCGGATCCGTCAGCTGGATCACGCAGCTGGTGGTGCGGACCGACCAGCGAAGCCGCGGCATCGGCTCCCGGCTCTGCCGCATCGCCTGCAGCCCCAGCCCCAAGCCCTTTGCCTGCGGGCTGGTCAGCTCCCACCCGCACGCGGTGCGTGCGCTAGAGCGCGGTGTTGGACTCCGATGTGACGTGGATAGCATCCAGCGTCACGCGGCCGGGCTGGTTGCGGCCAGCGGGATTCCCTATGTGCAGGGCTGCCAGGTGGTTGGGTGCTGCATCGACACGGCTTTCCACGTGGACCACACGGAGGTGGACGAGCTTGCCCGGCACCAGGCGGGGTGGGCGCTGGGGCGGCTAGCGGAGGGGCAGGAGTACTTTGGGTTCGCCTTTGCTGCCACGTCGGAGAGTTGTACGGGCGACAGCGGGAACAGGGTAGCAGTGGAGGTAGGGGCGTAAGGGAGGGGCTAGGTAAGTGCCTGTGACGGAGGACGAAGAGCTCAAGAGCCTTGAGGAGGACGTTGCGGCTGAGGAGGGGGGAACAGGGTTGTGCGTCCCTTGCCGGTGTAGGGCTTTGGGCAGCGTCGTTGGCGTTAGTCGAGTGTGGCTAGACGGGGCCTTAAGTGCCTGCCGGTATGGTGCTAGTGCTGAAGTGGCGAAGGTAGCGGTCCGGGGATTGTGGGCGCCTGGAAAGAGGTATCAGTAATCACGCGTGCCTGAAACATATTGTAGCAGGTTCGGTCTTTAATATACTGTAATCTGGCATTTTCAGAGAATTGGAAGACTATAAGGCTTGGCTTGGCTTGCCGTGGAATGGGATGGCATGGATGGGAAGCACTAAGCCGTGGCTTAGTTAGAAGCTCCAGTGGGCATTACGCAACGCCCATGCCCTGCGTTTAGTCTCTGACCTGGGGCACCTCATCCCAAGTGCCTTCCCAGTGCCATCCTATCCGACATCCGACCCGACCAAGTATGTCTATAACTGTGGAGCCGAACCCCAGGGAGGTGCTTTAGGAATCCAACGTAAGCTGCGATATCCGTGCAATCAGCAAAGCCCGTGAAGCGGAGCGGTCATTGGGGCCAACATATAACTGTAACGGTTACCAATCTGCCGACGAAAATGGGCAATTATGTCTTTTAGGATATTGTATACATTATAGTTGGCAACGTGTTCCTTGCATATCAACTGCATTTAGGATCGCGGAAACTTCTAGGGTTCGCAAAGTTTGTGCGCAGGGCGCACAACGATGGCGCAACCTGGCGAGGTTCTTCGCTTTTCCCCACTGCAGGTGTGCCGCTTACGCTAACAACGGAGAAAAGATGCAGAAGATGGTGATCCTGCGGTCTCCATTACAGTTCATCCCTGCATCCGCAGAGCGTTGTGGACGTCAGCTTTCTCTCGGAGCTTTCTGAATACAAATTAAACGTTCTAAAGCTATCAGAAGAACCAGTCGAGATCACCGGTGCGCTTATGCTGAACCAACTTGCCTCGCCCTCTGCTAAGCCACGTGCAGCGGTTGATCCTGCCAGTATGGTCCTGACCGCTGCAGGCTACTTCAGCCCGAACCGCTACGACAGTGTACCAGCCCGGTTGCAGCTGGACGTTTCCAGCCTGCGTCCGGATGCCTCAACTCGCCTGGTGGGTTCCGCGTAGCGAGATGCATGGAAGAGGGAAGGGTAGCATGCCTGGACGCAGGTGTCCGCCCTCGGGCCCACGCCGGTTGCACTGAGCACACGCAGCTCGGGTACGAGTCGGTTAGCGCAACCTCACCACTTCTCCCCCCAACCTGAGCCCCCGCTGTACACTCCAACCGTCCAACAATCCCTGGCTGCACCTCCTGGCATCAACAGGCAGTACCTCCACACCCATCCCAGCAGCGCACCTCAAACCCACCGTGGCGGCCCTGTCCCCGCATCCACCGCTTCCAACGCCCCCTCCTTCTCTCCCATGCTCCTCCTCCAAACCCCCTCCCGCCATCCTTTCCCCCTCCCTCCTACTCCCCCTCTTCCGCCCCCTCCCTCCGTACAGGACTGTCACGCTGCCCCCGGGCGGCTGCTGCTGTTCAACACGGTGGAGGGATTCCGAGGGGCGGACAAGGCGGCACTCATGCGTCAGGTGGGGGGGGGAGGGTAGGAAGGGAGGGAGGGAGGGAGGGAGGGGGTGCGCCAGGCATGTGTGAGGGGGGAGAGTGGAAGGGAGAAGGAGAGGTAGTCCCTGGCTAGCACCGGACTCCACATGCTGCCACCTTTGCCGCCACCACCACCTATACTCCTTGCCTGCCCCTCCCTCCTGGTCTGGTCTCTCTCTGCCCCTCCTCCCCTCCCCAGGCGGCTGCGGAGGTGTGGCGGGACGTGGTGAGCGGCGCTGCGGAGGCGGAGCCCTGGCGGCTGACCCGCTTCCTGCTGCTGGTGCATGGCGACCTCAAGCACTACAAGTTCCACTACTGGTAGGGGGAAAACGTTGGGGAGAGTGGAGAGGGGGACAGGCAGAGAGAGAAGAGGAGAAGGGGCGCGTGGCTGCCAACATGGAGGGCTGATTTCCCTTCCTACGGGTGCGCGATACCTCGCCGTCCGGCCAGCTTACACTGCGTCGCAGAGCTCGCGTATCCCAACCTGTTTCCCAGCCCGCTCCACCCCACCGGGCCGCTGCAGATCTACCGTGTGTCCCCTCATGCCCCTCATACCCGCAGGTTCGCCTTCCCCGCACTCAAGCCGCCCCGCCCCTTCACGCTGTCCGCCCCGCCCACCCCCCTGGCGGAGGCACTGCCGCCCGCTGCAGTGGAGCTGGTGGGGGGGCTGGGGGGAGGGGAGGGGTGGGAAGTGCAGGCAGGGAAGGCAGCTTCATGCCTGCATCCGGCCATCACTACCGGAACATTGGCTTGCCCTCGTTACGGGTATCCCCGCTCAGCTACCCGCGGCTGACCCCAAACCCGCCCCTACCCCCCCCCCCTTGTCTTGTGGCACCCAGCCAACTCCTACCCCCATTGTTTTGCCCTAACTTGTGGTCTCCTATGGTTTGATATGGTCTTTGACCCCCCTCCCTCCCAGATCTCCGCCGCTTGCACCGCCTGGCGCTACCCGCCCGCCGGGGCCCCAGCCTCATCCCCGCCCCCCGCCGCTGCGGACTCCTCCACCACCCCCGCAGCAGCACCCCAGCCCACCGCACCTGCGCCTCCCTCCAGCGCTCCCCCCTCCTCCCGCTCCTCCTCCTCCTCCCGCCCCCATGCCAAGGTGCTGACCCGCAGCCCCGCCCCCTTCTGGCTGCTCTCCAGCCCCCAACCCGACTTCTCCCGGGATGTGCAGTCGCACCCGCTCAGCCACTGGGGCGCACTGCGGGCTGGGGGGAACATCGCTGCTGCTGCCACTGCTCGGGAGGCGCCCTCTGAAACGCTGTCCCAGCAGCAACAAGACCAGCAACAAGAACAGGAGCCGCAGCAGCAGCAGCAGCAGCAGCAGCAGGGCCCAGGTGCGGAGGGTGCCCAGCAGTTGCCACTTCACGTGCTGCTGGTGTTCTCCGACGCCAGCCACCAGCCAGCGCACCCCGCCTGGCAGCTGAGGAACGCGCTGCTGATGGCGGCAGCACGGTGGCGAGTGGGCAGGCTGAGGGTGAGGCATGCGGGGGGGTGGAAGAGGGAAGAACCCGGCGGAGGCGTGAGGGTTGAGGGGAAATGGAGGGAAAGCGTGCCTGAGAGCTGGGTAAGGGCATGTCGCAGGGTCATTGCTGAATATTTGGGGTTGTACGGTATCTTGTGGTATGCCCCCACCGTCCGACCCCCGGCACCCCTGTGGTATCCGCAGGTGTTGTGTCTGCGTGAGAGCAGTCGCGGGGGCGGGCGACTGGATCCGCGACGCAGTGTGTTGATGGAGGTGGACCTGCCGGCGATGGGGGGCGGGCAGCAGCAGGGAGGGCAGGAGGGCGGGGTGCGGGAGGGGGATGCGGGCGGCGGTGCCGTCGTGCCGGATGCGGTGGGGTGGGAGGCCAACGCTGAGGGACGGCTGCTGCCAAGGTGCGGTCGCAGGGGCCGGGAGGGCGGGAGGCGAAGGGTATGCGGCATGCCGTAGTCGCCGAACAACCCACGCTTGTCGGTCCTCACTCCATCACTCACTCACGCTCTGGCCATGTAACGCCAGAAACGCGTTGTCGACCTTGGCGCCCCTCTCCAGGTCCCTCTCCTCTCCCCTCCTCTCCCCCTCCCCTCCGACGCTCGCCCCAGGTTCCTTGACCTGTCCTCCCACCTGCGCCCCGAGGCCCAGGCGGAGGCGGCGGTGGACCTCAACCTGCGCCTCATGCGCTGGCGGGCGGCGCCGGAGCTGCAGGTGGGGCAGCTGGCGGCCACTCGGTGCCTGCTGCTGGGTGAGCGGGGAGGGAGGGGGGGGGGGTGGAGGGGTGGAGGGGGCGTTGGGGAATGTGGGAGAGAGGAAGGGGGATGGTGCGATCTGGCAACATCATTACCATGTGCAGCCTTGGCAGCGACGGAGGGGACTGAGGTGACGTGCGGAGAGGAGCGGCCGGCGATGACTCGGGAGCCACTGTCTGCTGCACCCCGTTGCGTCCTTCCCTCCCATGGAGGACTGCACGACCGCGGAATGGCAGTAGACTCGCGGCCCCTCAGTTTTCCTAGCTGCTGCGACCTCACCTCACCAGCTTCCCCACTCTGCCCCACCCCGCTCCGCCCTCTACCCCTCCCCTCTCCCCTCCAGGCGCCGGCACCCTAGGCTGTGCAGTGGCCCGCACGCTGCAGGCCTGGGGGGTACGACACATCACCCTGGTGGACAGCGGCCGGGTGGCCTTCTCCAACCCCGTACGGCAGTCGCTGTACGACTTCCAGGACTGCCTGGGCGGCGGGCGGCCCAAGGCGGAGGCGGCTGCGGAGGCGCTGCGCCGCATCTTCCCCTCCGCCGTCACCCGCGGAGTGGAGCTGGCCATACCCATGCCCGGCCACCCGCCTGCGGGGCCTGCGGAGGAGGAGGCCATGAAGCAGGTGGGGTGGGGCGGGTGCTGCAAGGGAGGCGCAGCAGGGCATGACGCGACTCGGTTCTCACCTGGAAGTTCCTGGAGTCACGATGGCCTGTGCCTCCGATATAGCTTTCCCCACTACGCTGAGCACCACTTCTCAACTGTCACCGCCACCTACCCACCGCGCCCTTCCTGCCCCGTCTGCCCCAGGCCACCCAGCAGCTGGAGCAGCTGGTCTCCTCCCACGACGCGCTCTTCCTGCTCACCGACACCCGCGAGTCCCGCTGGCTGCCCGCGCTGCTGGCGGCGGTGTACGGCAAGATAGCCATCACCGCAGCAGTCGGCTTCGACTCCTTCCTCGTCATGCGGCATGGAGCGCCGCCGGGCCTTTCCAACGCCCCCCATCCTCCTCCTCCTTCTCCTGCAGTCCCCGCTTCCACCTCCAAACCTTGCTGCAACCCCTCCGGCGGCGGCGGCGACAACGGCAAGGACAGCACCTCACAGGCGAGTGCCGCGGGTCGGCGGCTGGGTTGCTACTTCTGCAACGACGTGTTCGCCCCCGCCAACAGCACTCGCGACCGCTCGCTGGACCAGCAGTGCACCGTGGCGCGACCCGGGCTGGCGCCGCTTGCGGGGGCGCTGGCGGCGGAGCTGCTGGCGGCGGTACGGCAGCAGCCGTCGGGGGTGTGCGCGCCGCCGCCCAGCGTGCACTTGCAGCTGGCGGAGGGGCAGCAGGGGGAGAGGATGCCGCCGCTGGGCCCGGCGCCGCACATGGTTCGTGGGCAGCTGGCGTTGTTCAGTCAGGTGGTGATGGAGGGCTGGGCGTTTGCGCAGTGTACGGCATGCAGCTCGGCGGTGGTTGAGGCGTACAGGTGTGGTGGTTGGGAGTTGGTGGCGGCGGCGCTGCGGGAGCCGGGCTACCTGGAGCGGCTGACGGGGCTGGCGGCGCTGCATGAGGCGGCGGCGGCGGCGGTGGCGGGGATGGATGATGATGATGATGAGGAGGAGGAGGAGGAGGAGGAGGAGGGGAAGGAGGAGGGGAAGCAGAGGGAGGGAGGTGAGAAGAAGGAAGGGGAGGAGGCGGGCGGTGAGGAAGGTGGAGAGGATAGGGAGGAGGAGGATTGGACGGAGCTGTAGGGTTGAAGGGGTCGCGGATCAGGGCTTGCAGGGTTTGGAGGATTTTAGGGTAGGAACTGCTGCGGCTTGGCTGAACGGGAGGGAGAGGAATAGGAGGAAACGTGTAAGGAGGAATGCTTAAAGTTGAGCGGGTGTGGGATATCAAGGAATGCTTGTGCTGGGGCTGGGGTCACGGGTTATGGGTAGCACGGGCCTCATTACTGTACTACGCAAGTATGGATTGGTTGGGGTGTACGGCAATGTGCATAGGCGCTCTTCATGCGGATGCATGCAACATTTGATGCATCGCTTTTCTACATTACTAAGCACGTGTTGGCTGACCCTGCGGCTATTCGTACGCAGGTTGCGTGGTACGGGGGGCGGCACGACATACCGGTTACAGCTGGATGTGACGTTTGTCAATCCTGACGGATGACATGCCGTCGAATGGGAATTACAACCAGTGTCTGCTGCCTAACACAGCGCTGTTAGGTGGCGGCTTTTACTCCCGGTTATCGTTTGTAATACACGCCCTAAATCCTGCCTGTCACTTGTTGTGGCATTCGGGCCCGAATGAGAAACCCGAACGGGAGAACCGGGGACGACTTAGGGACGTGTAGCAACTTCGTGTATTATGGCTGCAAGCCGGTACCCGCATTTCTTGTTCCATATATAACCGGTGTGAACTCATCCGACTTGCGAAGCAATGACAGACAACAGCTCGGGGGACTGGCGGGGGCCATGCGACCCGGGGGACCGCGGGGACGGTAAGCACATTTCATTAAGGCTTCTGTTAACATTTCCTAAGCCCCTTTGCAATCCTTTCCAGGCGTATGTTTGCGCTAAGTTTCATATCGCCTGGCACCGAGGAAGGCCATCGTCCGGCAGCGACTTGCAGCAATAAGTTGTTTGGTTGCGGGCTAGCTTCCTACTTGTATAAAAGCATGAACAAGTTATTGCTTTCAATCATGGCTTAAACGTTGTTGCAGTGTTCAGCTATAGCATCCTTGCGTTGGGCCCTTTTGTCCGAGATCTTCAGAGATGACAACTTATGTTGCCGCAGCCCTAGTTTTTTGAGGCTTGAAGTGCACATATACATCTTCAAACCTCGTTGCTATTCCACTGTCTCGAAAATGGCCCTGCGCGCTACTCTTGCTAAGCCGGCCGTTCGCCCCCAGGCGGCCCGCGCCAGCGTTAAGCCTGTGGCTGCCCTGAAGCCCGTCCACGCTAAGCTGGCTCTTGCTGGCGCCGCGTCTCTGGCTGTGCTGGCGTCCACCCACTCGGTGCGTGATGTCATTGGCTTGCACGACCACATACAATTATAGGCAGACGCTCTCGAGAACTATCACCTCGCTCACTATAACATCCTAGATCGACAACATTTTGTTCGCTGGCTGGCCGTGGGACGCTGTGTTGCCGTTGCCGACCTCTGAGCATTAAAGCTTACAACAGGATAAGTGCTGACCACAGCATGGGATAACATAAACACGCAAGTAAACAAAGTTTATGAAGTCACCCTGGAAAAAGCCAGGTGCAAATTGTTTGCTTTTACTCAAGTGCATGGGGATGGATGCCCGCTCGCAGGCCGAGGCTTCTCAGGTGATCGCCACCGTCGCCAGCGCTGCTGAGGGATACCCCTTCGTGCCCCCCGCCTGGGCTCCCTCGGTGCTGGTCCCTTTCACCGGCCTGGTCCTGCCAGCCATCGTCATGGCCACCATGTTCATGTAAGCAGGGAGGGTGCGCAGCATACAGAAATCAATTTCCTGGCGTTGGTTACCCGCGAGGCACATCAGCTATCTCGTGCTTGCTGCAAACGCCGTCGAGCTCCCTTCACTCGCACAGGAGAGTGTACGGCAGCATCACCCGCCCCAATGCTTCACCCGCCATACCATTATCTGCCGTCCCTTAACTACACCCGACTGACCCCCCAAACCAACCTCCTGACCTTCCCCCCGCCTCCCGCTCAGCTACATTGAGAAGGAGGCGCCCTCATCGTAAGCGCCCCCTGCCGGTGCGCTGAGCAGCCCTCTGGAGCCGCGGCGGCAGCAGCAACGAGCCCCATGCAGCTGATATTGATCAGCAGCAATGGCAGCAGCGTCCGCAGCAGCTTTTAACAGGCGGCACCAGCGGGCGGTTCTTCTTCGGCTGCGGCTGCGGCACTTCCAGAGGCGCGGCCCTTCCTCCTCCCCTTCCTTTTCTGTACAGATAGCAACACGTGAACGTGGAGAGAAGATTTTCCTTTGATAGCGGTTTTTTGACGTGCGGGCATGACGTCCGCACATCACCACCTACGCACGCATCTCCTGCCGTACTTTCCTGTCGGCCGGCGCGCTTAGCCCCGCTGTGCGCAAGCACAAGCAGCAGGGCACAGCCTTCCAGTATTGCTTGTAGCAACGTCCTGACGGGTTGCAGCGGCAGCTAGCTGGGGGCATTTTGGACTGAACGGCCGTTTGAGAGGAAGTCAAGTGCGGTGTGCGGGCGGTGGTGGTGGTGGTGGAAGAGAAGAGTGCATTTTTGTTGTTCCTGTTCGGAACTGCATGGGCCCTGCCAACCCATTCCATTGTAACCTAGCGACCCGTCAGCCGAACCATGTTTTGCCGCTACACCTGTGCTATGCTGCAAGGGAAAGTGCTGCGACACATGCCGATGCGCGGTGTGTACGTTCTTTGCCCATGCGACAGCAAAGGCACGGGGCGGAAGGCCGGAACTACAGTTTACAGCAGAGGCCCGTCTCGCCTAGCTCCAGCAGTCCGGCTGTCCCTATCACCTCCAGATGTGGATTAAAATGAGGGCTCACAGCGAAAAGCCGAAGCTGAACTGCGCCTCCTGAGGCTTCACCCCGCCCTTGGCGTCATCAGAAGCCTTGCGCCCTGCCGCCTTCTTTCCTCTCCCCTCACCGCCAACGTCCTCGCTCCCAACCGCCGCCTTCCCCGCTGCATTCCCGCCAGCCCCAGCCACACTCTTTCCAACCGCACGCGCCGCCTCCGCTCCCCCTAACGCTAGCGAGCGCTGCAAACCGCCCTTCCGCTTTATCTCCTCCCGCAGCCAAACCAGCGCCTCCTTCTCTGGCTTCCGAGCCAGCAACGCAGCCCGCTGCCGGGGCGGAAGACTGTCGTACAGTCCCATCAGCCGCTCGTCCTCCTCCAGGCTGTTGCCGTACCGCCCCAGCATGTACGACACGACACGCTCGTACACACGCTGCAACCGTGCAACCGCTGCTGCTGACCCGGACACCCCGCCCCCTGCGCTGCTGTCTTCTTGTTTCAACGCTGCTGCCACAGCGGCAATTGCCGCAGCCGCCTTCGCCTGCTTGTCTACCTTCCCTCCGCGCCGCTGCTTACCGCTGTGTGCAGCCCCCGCGGCTCTCCTCGCCGCCCGCCGCACCTCCTCCGCCTGCTCCTCCCCAGCAAGCAGCAGGTGCAGCAGGGCCGTCAGGGCGGCAGGCGCGGGCCGGCCCGCATACACCTTGAACACATCGTGCAACGGCAGCAGCCCCAGTCGCCGACCCAGCCGCAACCGCGCAGCCACAGCCCGCCGCACCTCCGCAGCGGGGGCAGTAGCGGAGGCGGCGCTGCCGGGTCCCGGACCGGCCGCCTCGCCCGCCCCAGCTGCCGCCTGCTCCTGTTGCAGCTCCTGTCGTACGACACGCATCAGGAGGGCCAACGGAACCTGCGGGGTGGCCAGGCGAACAGACGCCTTGGATGCACAGCCACCACCAACAAGTGCCGCTCCTTCCTCCTTCCCTACCCCGGTGTCCCTACGGCTTTTATGGAGATGTTCCCGTTTCCTCCCCCACCTTCCCACGGCTGAAATGGAAACCCCAGGCCCCCAACCCCCCTAACCCCCCTAACATGCGCGCCAGCTTCCTCTCTATACCCGCCTGCACGCCAGCTTCCCCTTTTCACCCACCTGCACGTGGTTGTTGCGGTTGCTGCGCTCCACGAAGCCGTACCCGCGCAGCAGCTCCGCGTTCGACAGCTCGCCGTAGTTGTTGACCAGCTCCTCACCGGCGCGGATGTCGCGGGTGGCCAGCATCTGCAGCACATGCCTGGCAGCGGGGGACAGGGGATGGAGGTGGGGATGGAGGAGGTGGGGCAGGAGCCGGTAGAGCGCAGAGGTACAGGATGAGTCCGCAGCGGAGCGGCGGAGCAGGAACCATGCATGGCGATATGTACATGTGCGGTAAAGCGCCCTCCGCCTCCACTCTCCGTCTCTCTCTCCCTCACCTTCTAGCGCAGTGGTGCAGGCGCACGTTGACCGCCCCGGTGATGTGGTTCAGCAGGTCCCACACGGGAACCATGGCCTGCGGGGAGTTGGGGGGTGGAGGGCAGGGAAGGTCGGGGGCGGGGGGTGTTGGAGGGAGCTGGGACTTGGAGGAGTACCGGTATGACTGGTCGCAAACCTGAGTACAGCACATGCCACCACTCACCAGCAGTCAACAACCTGCCCCGAACCACCGCACACCAGTTGAGCCCTCTTCTCTTGTCCCCCTCTTCATGCACACCGGGCCACGAGTTACGAAAACACCATTACCGGCACATGAGACTGCGTATTACTGCTCTCCAGCTCTCCTCCCAACCTCCGCAAAACCACTACCCCGCTGCCTCACCCGATCCACTTCGTCTCCTCCTCCTCACCCCACCCCACCCCACCCCACTCCACTCTTTTGCGGCGAATTTCCTCAACACACCTGATACTTGTCGTCCCCCAAAATGAAGCTGTACGACGCCACCGCACATGTGGCCCAGCGGTACAGCTCGTAGCCCTGCTGCCCTCCCGGCAGCTCCAGCTCGGGGTGCTCCGCTATGAAGGGCGCCACCACCTCGCTCCACAGCAGCGGAACCTGGGTGGGCGCGTCGGCGGGGTGCTGCAGCCGCCCCATCATCTTGTCGTACGCTGCCGTACCGCGGAGCTCCAGGAACTCCCGCCGCTGTGGGTCCGCGGCGGCGTCCGCAACGGCATCCAGCAGGTGGAGCAGGACCGATACAGGAAGAAGAAGAAGCAACTTAGTGCGGTAAAGGGGTTCAATAACGAGGAATGGAAGAGTACACTATACGGTCTATACCGCACTGCACCGCAGCATGGGATAGCACAACTCATGCCGTACGGTCATCCTTGTCTCATCCCCCCCACCCCGCTGTCCTTCTCTGCTGCTAGCCCCCACACACTGGGTTTCTTTTTTACCTTCCAGTAGAGCGGCATGTGGGTCATGTCGTCCGGCAGCAGTGCCAGGTAGGGCGCCCAGCGGGACTGCTCGCCGCGCCACTTCTCGTACATCACCGCGATCACCAGCCCTTGCACCTGGGGCAGAGGGGAGAAAGAAGAGAGCAAGGAGGGGGGGTGCAAGAGGGGAGCAGTCAAAGATATGGGCGGATGTGGAAGCAAGAGGAGCATGCATGTGTCCTTCCCCCAGCCACAGCTACCGCTGCTGCACCAGCCAGCCGCCGCCAGCTGCCAGACCGCGCACTGGGCTTCTCCACCGCACTCGCCTCCTCTCCTCCCAGCCAGCAGCGCCACCTACCTCCAGAATCTCGTCATCTGCGGGCTTGCAGAGGCCCTCCTCTGCAGCAAGAAGGACAGGAGAGAGCGGGTTCAGGACGCGCTGCCAATGCGGGTCGGATCTCGGATGCGTGGACTCCCCCGCTGATCGGGGTTGCTGCCTAAGTTGGGACTTGGGAGCTAATATCCCTGGCACCAGCCATTGACGGATATCACCCATAAGGGCAGCCTGCGGCAGCCCAAATAGCCCATCCAGTCAAAGCCCAGGTCCCCACCCACCGTCCAGCACGTCTCGAATGCTGCAGTTGTCAGCCATCAGCACCGCGTCATCTGGCACCTCCACCACCACCTCACCTGGGCAGGCAGCAGCATGCGCGAAAGCATGGCGATGCAGGATACTTGAACATTTATGGGGAATTATGCTTATGGATTGCAAGAAAAGGACTGTGGTTAAGTTCCCTGGGTGTGTAAGCCCTTTGCCCACTTACCCATCTTGATGGCACGACTCGCCACCAGCGCCCGTCCTGTGTTCGCCAGCGCTGCCAAATGCGAGCTGGGGAAGCGCACGCGCTCTTCTTTGCACCATGCTAAGAACTCTTGCTCGCCGCGGGTTATGCCGGTGCAGCCGACGGGGCTGCGGAAGTCCGTCGATGCGGCGCTGCTGTGCTTGCCGTCACCGACAACATCCTTCTTTTGCATAGATGTCTTGGCCATTCCTACTAAGTAGCGTTACATGTAGTATTCAGCAGAAGCGGGGCCCAAAATGCCCTGGCAAAGGTCAAGGAATACAAGGCAAACCGCACTGCTGGCTGAACCGTAGTAGCCGTGTAAGTGCAATGGAAGGCCGCGTCTCATAGCTGGCAAAAACACGTCGATTATGGCTTGTAACTTACGGTTGTGACAACTGACGTACGGCACCGCTTGCAAGCTGGGGACGTCGGTCACGGCTAGGAATGCGTCTACACGTGCCGGCTAGGTCAGCTGACAAGGAATTTCACATTCTTAGCCGGAACTTCCTACCGGCGCAACCTCTAGTTGACATTTCTCGATATACTTGGGAATAGATCTAGACAAAGTTGCCCTAAATGCGCTCCGGGCAGCTCCGGCTGCCGTTCGTGGGTTGCCAAGGATGCCCAGCCGCCTTGACGAAGAGGGTATATGCACGGCCAGCGACAATTGCACGGCGGCAGCTCACGACGATGTCGAATTGGAGTCCATTTGGTGGAAAAGGTGGCGGAAGTAATAAGGAAAAGGAGGATGCTGCTAGGCGTGCCCTAGAGGTGCGCTCGTCCGTAATGCATTCGGAGGCCACGAATTGAACATTAATTGATACCATTGTCATTCCTTGTAGCAATCCTTCGGCCCAAAAAAGTTTGGTGCGGATGCAAGTAAAAAGGCAGCAAAGCCCGCAGCCAAGCCCTCTGAGCCGCCTAAGCCTGCAAGCAGCGCACCTAAGAACCCGCTGGAAGGCATGTTTGGGGGGGCAGGCGGTTCAGGCGGGGCTTTCGGGGGCGGTGGCGGTGGCGGAGGAGGAGGCGGTGCCGGTGGTGGTGGTGGTGGCAGCTTCTTCTCTGGGGGCGGTGCTGAGCAGCCGGGCAGCGAGCAGCCAATCCTTGCGGAGTTCCTTGAGCTTCTACGCGGCTCCTGGATGGTGTTCACCAACCTCTGCCTCTTCCTGGCATTCTCCAGCTTCCTGCACAGGTGCGAACGCCTGACTGCGGTTTGCTAGTGGGTTCACGGAGTCACGAAGCACACCCCTCACCACCGTGTCCTCACACTCGTGTATACCCATGTGCACCGGTACCCATGTACTTCTTCCGCCCGTGCAAATCTGCAGGTCGCTCAACTGGTTCGTCCAGACGGAGCTGCTGGTAGCTGTGGGCGCCCCGCAGCAGGCTGGCGAGCGCGTGATCGGCAAGTTCTTCGAAGCCATCGAGTGGGTTGAGCGGCACGTGCTGGGCTGGACGCTGCCGGGCGACGAGGAGGAGGAGGAGAGCACCTCCAAGGTGTACGAGGTGCTGCGGAACTACACACCCAAGGAGGCATCGTACACCTTCGCACAACTCAAGTGCGTGTGGGGGCTGTGGGGCGGGAGGATGGGAACGACCCATAGGTCACGCGAGGAATGTGTTACATGAAATCGTGGAAAACACATTCTAGCCAGGATAGTCTTATCGAAGCCCAGAAACGGAAGCTCTCAAAATATGGTGCTAACTACATGGCATACGCACCTTGCATGCAAACGATGTTGCGGTAACAATGATGACAAGCTGCCAACGGGTATCAATAAACGGCCCTAGCGCGCGGGGTGGTGTTCAAAACATCGCTGACGAGTCTACCTTGCTTGCCACTCCTGCGCCATAATGCCTACAGGTACAACCTCACGGACAGCGAGAGGGAGCTGCTGCGCAAGGCCTACGCGGTGCGCTACTACGAGCGCAGCGGCGGCCGGCGGGATGACGTGGACATGGCGGATGTGCAGGCGCTCAAGGACCGGCTGGACCCCGTGGAGGCGGACCGCCGCGCCTACCGCAAGGCCAAGGCGGAGGGCCGACTGGAGGAGTACTGGGCGGCGCCCGGGCGCGAGGAGATGTACACCCGGATTGTAGGGCAGCCGCGCACTGCATGATGGAGTGAAGGAGCTGGGGGTGGGAGGGTTTGTACTGTTGTGTGCGTTGGTGAAGTTGGAGGGTTGGTGAGGTGACCTTGGCACGTGTTGCTGCTGCTGCCGATGCGTGTGGACAATGGAATAATGGATCATAGCAGGAAATGTACTGGGAATGACTCTTAACGGTGTGTGCGTTGACAACAGGTTTGCACCACGCATGGTCAAGCTCCACGCTGTAATCACGTGTGCGATGGGTGTCAGGAGAACGGCTGTACACGTACATAACCACCTGTACGTAGTGCGCTCAATTGTACGACAGCCGCAAGCAAGCAATACCATTAACCTGCATATGAACACGCGGGCCGTCACCCACACCACAGTCTCGAAACAGTCTTCTGCTTTCGTATGGGACAAGGTGCCTCCGCCCACTGCCCGCAGAAGCCCACACCGCAGGACTACAAACTAGTACCCCTGTCACGAGCGCTAGCCCTGTTCACGCCAGCGCGTTCCTGGACTGGTTGCAATATCCCAGCGGACCAAGACGAACGCCCGCCCCAGCCCGCCTAGTAAATTCCGCACGAGAGACCTTCCACCACATGTTGTGAGTAGCATACCTAACGAATCACGTTGCACAGTTGCTGCACACCAGACAGCCGATACTGTACACCGAGTGCGCTCGATCATGTAAACACCCTCCAGCCCTCCTAATTAGTAAACGACCCGGCCAGGAAACAGTTATATTATGCGAAGCTCGCTGCAATACCCAATGCCCGTATGCTTACACCCCGTTGTGCCCCGGCGACGGCACCGCTTCCGTGCCGACCTTGGGGCTGCCGCTGCCTGTCTCCGTCACGCTGAAGCGTACCGTGTGTGCGGCGCAGTGCAGCGTCTCAAGCACCTTGTTGCGCTCCCGCAGGCGCGTGTTCTCCTCCTCCAGCGAGGACACCTGCAGCATGAACGCAGGTTGCATGAGCAGGTTTAAAAACCAAACCCCGCGCAGCGAATGAACACAGACCCTTACAATCCACCCAGTCATGACGCCGCAATCCCCGCATGCTCCCGCGCACCTTGGATTTGAGATCCAGCACCTGCAGCCGCAGCTCCTCCATGCTCTCCACCGGCGGCGTCAAGTCCTTGCTGTCAAACAACGACTTTGTGGACTGCGACCGCGACAGCAGCATCGGCACCCGCCCCTTGTCGCACTCTTGCACAGCCCCAATGAGCTTCTGCACAGAGGGAAAAACGCCAGGCAGGAACCCGCTCATGCACAGACCGGCTGCATGGCACCTACAATCGCACTTGCAAACACCGGCCGTACCGTCGTGTAACCACTGGCGTTGGTCCAAAGCCACAAACAATGGTCCCCATTACTTGCCAGCCCCTTCCCTTTACCTGCAACGCGGCCTGGTGGGCCGCTGCGTGGTCCAGCAGCTCCTGCAGCTTCGGCAGCACCACAGTGACCGGTGTGACGATGGACGAGGGGGCAGTGGGCGGCTTGCCCATGAGGCTGCCGCCGGCCTCAAGGCGAGGTTTGCTGTCCTTGACCTCCGGGAGGGGCTGGCTGTTGTTGTTGAGGTTCGCCATGGACGGCGCTTTGGACAGCGGCCGTGACTGCAGAGGGCCAAGGGAAGAAAGTTTGGGAAGGCATGTCACAGCGCGTACTGAAGATTGCTTTAACCAGTCCCTAATCCCAATAAACGACGACCGCCCAACGAAGCGCTTACATCGGATGTCCCCTGCTCCGCCACAATCTTGAACCGCCCGCGCTGCTTTGGCTCGACGCTGGTTACCGACGCCTCCACCTCCGTCATCAGAGATGGCACCCCATCGTCCCGCGCGTCGGGGATCTCTAACAGCCCCGTGGTCGAGGTCCTAAGCGCGGCTAGGTCGGAGGGCCGCAGTGCCGACAAGTCGGGCACGTTGCCACCCGATATGGACGGCCCGCCGCCGGCCATGCCGGACGCGCTGCTGCTGCTGTGGAGCAGCGGCACGGTCGCGGCATGGTGCATGGGGGCAGGCGGCGGCGGCGCTGGGGCGGGCACGGCGTGCTCGCTGACCTCGAAGCGCCCCTACATGCAGGACAGAGTGTCTTTCTCAAGGGTGATGGCGAGATGATCGGGGGAGGCCTGCGCCCCGTGTGAGGCAGCTAGGCATAGGGCGGCAACCACTGCACACCGCCTAGAGCAATTAAAACGGTGTCCAGCATGCAGCAGCAGATGATGCCAACAGACATGTCGCACACACATGTGCATGGCACCCAATGCACATGCGGTATTTTACCCCGGTCAATATGGCTGTAAAGGCACACCAAGGCGGCATGTGAGCACCGAAGTTCACATACAACCCTGTGCCATTGCGGGAAGATGCCCCTTTACCGCCAACAGCCATGCCACCGTGCCCCACATAAAGTCTTCCGGCACTCTTCCTAAAGCGCCCAGCCGCCCATGCCTTGGAAGGACCCCCACCTTCTTTTGCTTTGTTACGGCAGTGGGAGTGGTAGCTATCCCCACAATGTTGACGACGCTCCCCTCGCGACTCAAGCCCGCCGCTGGGCTGATGCCACCGCCACCCGGGGACTGCGGCGGCGCCTCCCCGCTGGGCGTGTTGCAGCGCTCCACAGCTGCTCCCTGCTGATCGCCAGATGCTACTGGCCGTAACGACGCCACAGAGGACACTGCGGGTGGGAAGTGTGGACAGCCAAGCGATGCGTTACTTATGAATGCCTATTTTTTTACTTTCACAGGACCATGCGACGCGTGTGCTGGCAAAGGCAGTTTAGCAGTGCCATCGCTGAGACCATCCGCATGACACATTTCCACATGGGTAACCTTTAACCGGACCCACCTTCAGATGACGACGGGCCGAGTGCTCCAGACAGCGGCAACACGGTCTGGGTCTTGGCAGTGGGGTCTTGTCCGGACGCCGTCGCTGCAAGGCACCAGGCGCCACAACTGAGATGTGGCATCTGACATCGCTAACGACACGACAACGCCTCAACAAGAGCACATTAAGCAACTTTACGCTGCGAGCAACGGGTGCCTCACCAAATGCCGACATGTAGGGTCGTGACCCAGATGCCTCCACCGCCGGGGCAGGCAAGTTCCACTGTGCCGCCACGAATTGCGCTGCTGCCGACGCCGAGGCCCCCGTCAGCGTGTCCTCCCGCTCATCGCTCTCCGAGATGGTGGGCAGCATATTGGCGCCGTGGGTCGACTCGTCATCGGGCTCCAGAGCCGCCTGCGCCTTCAGCGCTGCCAGGTCAAAGTTCCACGAGCTGACGCCCTTCCGGTACTCCTCCTGTGGTGGGGCGTCACAAGGTGGTATGCAGCATGAGACCGGCCACCGTAACTCAGCATCAGGCATCAGCGCAGCGCAGCAAACCATGCAGTGCCGCTGCCCCAAGAACCCCCTTAGCCCGCCTGGCTAGCAACGGTAAGAGGCCCTTGCATACCCGGCTCCTTCACTGCGGCAAGGACATGGAGCCGCCCAACCCCTGGCATGTCTGTGTTAGCTGACATGTCATGGCTGTGGTAGCTGCCGGCCACAGCTGCTGGCGCACCTGCGACTTCTCCAGGTTGCGGTCATTGTCCTGCTTGTTGGTCGCCGCCTGCCCGATGCGAATCAGGTTCACACGGTCCGACAGCGCCGGCAGCCCGCCCACCAGGACTTCCTTCAAGAACTTGGAGTCCCGAGCGATCTGCGGGAGGCAGCAACGTGCACCCTCACGCATTAGTCCGCCGGCAGCTGTTGTCCGCTGTCACGTCCATCCTCCTCAAAGCGGAAGGCCGTCATATCACATACGGCAACATGACAACATACCTTGAAGAACTTGTGCTCAAGCAGCTGCGCCGCCGACGGCCGCTTTTCCTTCTCCTTTTGCAGGCACCGCGTCACGAGGTCCTTCAGGGCCTGCAGAACGGTAAAGGCCTCAGTTGCCAATGCTCATGGGGCTTCGTCTGACACCAGGTCCCTTGAACCCCATGCAACAGTTCAAGATACACAACGCCGGGCATGGCTCCGGCACGAAGGGCTCGTCACACATCAAGCCGACATCAAGCCGCATGCGCTTCGCAAGCTACAAGCTGACCTTTGAAAAGTGTTTCTTGCCCTTATCCTCCAGAGTTGGCGCCGGGTTTTGCAACGTCATGAGCAGCACCTTCATCGGCGGGAACTTCGCGAAGGGCGCGTGCCCGTGAGCCATCTCCAACAGCGTGATACCGAACGACCAAATGTCCGCCGAGACATCATACCTGCGCAGCCCGCGCCAACCCCCCTTGTTTTAGCCCCATGCGCGACAGACAGCTGCAAGCAGAGGGGGCAACGCGCAAGCGCATCTCACCCCATCGTCTGCTCCATGACCTCCGGGGCCATCCAGCATGGCGTTCCCACGAACGTCATGCGAGCCTGCTTGTCGTGGCCCCACGACCCTCCACGCTCCAAGCTGGCTGCCACGCCGAAGTCGCCAAGCTTAACGTTCCCGTCACCGTCAACCAAGATGTTACCCGCCTGCAGAAGCAACGCTCGGGTGTTGGACCTCCGCACAAGGGCCAAGGGGTAAGCACCATGGGGTTTTCCCAGAGCTTGCATACCTTGACGTCACGGTGGATGCTGCCGTTCTTATGCACGTAGTCGAGCCCCTTAAGCACCTCGCGGCCAATAGTCGCGATGATTACCTCGTCCAGGCCCTGGGATGACGGTGGGGACAGCTTTCAGTACACCCATACCCGCGTGAAACCCCTGGGAGCTACATAAGCGCACCTCCGGGTGTGCGTACTTCATGATGTGCAATACTGAACCCCCAGACACGAACGGCATAACCATCCAGAGCTCTTGGCCATGGACGAAGGAGCAGTAGAGAGGCAGGATGTTGGGGTGGTTGTACATACGCATAGTCTGTGCCTCGTGAATGATCTCATCCTGCAGAAAGAAGGATCTTGTTAAGAACAGCAGACTGGATAGGGCTGCTGTCGAAAGTACAGCCTCTTACCAGGTCGCAGTTCATGCTCTCCAAGTTCATCAGCTTCACCGCCACCGTCTCGTTGTTTGTCAGACATTTTGCACGATGTACCTGAGGTGTCAGAGCCCCAAGCATATGTAAGATAGTTGCATGCACTGAAGCCGAGAGACGGCGACGGGGAGCTCACGGTGGCGCTGACGCCGCGACCACAGTCGTCGAGGATTTGGTAAGCGCTGGCTTCTGTAGGCCAATTGCTGCAATAGAAGAAAACCGATGTCAACAAGGTTTGGTACAGGAAGCGCTCCGCTGAGCTATATAGGAGGCAAACACCATCTTACTTTCCACCAGCAAGCTGTGCAAAGTCCTTTGTACTCTTCCTAGATGCTAGTTTTGACAGACCAGAAAAGGCACGTTCCATGTTGTCTGTTCTGCGCTAGGAAGCCTCGCGTACAAGAAGGGGTCTATACTTATAACGCGAAACGGAGGCCGTCACGGCTCCTAAAAAGATGCTGGAGGCGCCAACACCTCTCCATCTGTGTATGCAATCGCTGTGCTCCTTTCAAACCGTTGCTTACATGCATTCTATTCTTCCGGATGTATTCCTCCGTACAATCAGCTGCAATACCCTCACTTCCTCGATTTGCTCTTGGTTCTAACGTTCCTAATACAGTACTTTTAGCATTATATGGACTGATTTTGGTTGCATCCTGCTAGTAACACTTCAGCTTCAAGCCTGTTAAGTCTGCCTTCTTACAGTTGCTATCCCTATTTGACATTTCTTATTTGCAAGCTCATTAGCTGCTGAAAGCGGCATAGATTTACTTGGGCAAGCCGCCTTCCGGCTTCGGACCCATGGCCAGCCCCTCACGATCCCGTGGTAGCTCATCGACGTCTGGCAGTTCAAGCTCTAGTGGAAGTAGTGGGAGCAGCAGCAGCGGGAGCAGCAGTCGCTCAAGTGGCTCGCGCAGTACAGGCTCAAGGTGATCACACTTGGGAAACGACGCTCTAACGGCTCATTGCAATTCATGGCAGACTGTAGACGCTGTATTACTGGAATTGCCGTGCAGCGGCAGTCGATCCCCGTCTCCCCGCGGGCGGACTACAGCACGGGACACGAAGGAGGCTAGGGCTAATGGCGAGCGGTCACCGAGCCCAGCCGAAAAGGTGCTGATGGCAGCTCAGACGAAGCCGGTCTAGGTGCCTAAGCGGGAGCCGGAAGCACGGGTCTCGGCTATGTTACAAACTTGGGTTTACATACAGCTTGGATGCCTCCCCCTTGCCTACCCCCCGCTTAGCTGTTGCGTGCATGTGTTAATGGCCATACTCCAGCTTCCAAAGACTGGGCATGGCACGGGTTACAACCGCCCTCTCCAACCTGCACTTCGCTCACCACCCGCGGGCCCTTGCTTCACGCCTGGTACGCCGTCCTTAGGGTGGGGATGCCGGCACCACTCGGCTTGTCGTGGGCAACCTGACGCGGAACGTGACAGAGGACCACATCCGGGAAATCTTCAGCTGCTATGGCTCCCTGAAGTCAGTGGAGTTGGCTATGGATCGCGCCGTCAACCTGCCGCGTGGCTTCGCTCATGTGGAGTTCGACAGCCGGGAGGATGCGGAGCGGGCGATGGATTACATGAACAACGGGCAAATCGACGGGAACGTTGTCAGGTAGGAGGTTGCCCGCAGGTGCCCTGGCGGGGGAGGGCGGTTTATTACCGCCATCGTTGGGTTGGGCTAGAGTGAGCGGGCACTAATTGCATGGCCCATGTGGAAGCTGCTGAGCGTATCATCGTTTGGGTTGGGTAATGCGATGCAGGGTGCTTGGCCCACTGGCGTGCACAGGCTGCTGGCGTCTGATGCCCTTCCTGCTGCTGTGTTTGGGCTTTTCACATGCCTAAGCTACACGCATGTAACTGTCATCTTGGGGCTCATTAGGTTTCATGTTGACTATGCATGCCGCCCACTCATTCCCGAAATCCTCCTCTTCCCCTGTATATACAGGGTGAACTTTGTCATCCTGCCAAAGAAGCGCTCGCCGTCGCCGATGCCCCTACCGCCGCCGCCTGCGCGCCAGGCCTCGCCGCCCCGGCGGGGCGCCAGTCCCCTTCGGCGGGGCCAAAGTCCCCTCCGACGCGGAGCCAGCCCACCGCGGAGAGGCGCCAGCCCGCCGCGGCGTGGAGGGGCCAGCCCGCCTCCCCGCCGTGGTGCCAGCCCTCCTCGTCGCGGAGGCGCTAGCCCACCACGCCGCGGCCCCAGCCCTGTCCGCAGGGGAGCTAGTCCGGTGGGGCGGCGTGGGGCGAGTCCGCCCAGACGTGGGGGCGGCAGCCCTGTGCGGCGAGGTGGGGCAAGCCCGCCGCGCCGAGGCAACCCCAGCCCACCGCGGCGCCGTTCGCCTGCGCCACGGGGGGGACGGTCACCGTCGCCGCGTCGGGCCTCTCCGGGACGCAGGTGGGTCAACGTCCCCATCATGCTCAGCAACTTTGATGGGGCTTGCTGTTGAGGCGGTTCATGCTGCGCTGCTTTGTCTGATCCCTGCTACAGTGATTTGTATGGTACGCTGCCACCTGAGTTGTGCCCTCATTCCCAACCCTCCTGTTCCATGCTGCCAGGCCACGCAGCCGCAGCCCACCTAGGGGCTACCAGGGCGGCAGGAGGCTGCCTTCGCCGCCTCGGCGTGGCGCTTCACCCGTTCGCCGCAGGTCGCCGGCACGTCGCAGCCGCAGCCGTAGCCGCAGCCCCGTACGCAGGTCGCCACCGGGCGGAGCCAGGCGGCGGCAGCAGTCACGGTCGCCTGCGGCTGGGGGCCGGGTAAGATGCAACTTGTGGGAGGGCTGTAGGAGTTTATGGCCTGGGTGTGAAACAACTAGTTGCTTTTCTGCAGATTATGTGTATCATCGGGTCGAAACTCAGCGCTAATTTTGTAAGCAAATCTAATCCTCGCAGGGTGGGCGTGGCCAATCTCCGGCTCGACGACCCGCGCGGGGCCGGCGCAGCAGCAGCAGCAGCTCCGGTCGGTCGAGCAGCAGCAGCCCGAGCAGGAGCACATCAAGCGGGTCGAGCTCGTCAAGCAGGTCGTCGACGTCGTCCGGGTCTCGATGACGATGTGCTGGGATGGCGGGAGAGAGGACGTTGTTGCTGAAGGCAAATTTCGCCCCATTGAGTTTGTGACCTGTAATGCGTGTAAATGTTCAATGCTGAATGCATGGTGGTTGGCCACTTCAACAATTGGCGATTGACACGAGTGGTTGGTGCCAAACGCTTGGCACCGCAAAGTGCTTGTAACTCAGTGGAAATCCTATTTTCCCAGTTTGAGCATGTTATAGCATAGACAATACATTAATGGCTTGCCCACTAGCCCATCAACAGGGCCGTCTTGGCCCTCTGGGCCACAGGGTAAAGAAACCATCGACGCTTGCAACGCCACTGTGCCGTCCGCTACCCAGCCGAATTTTACCCAGACCATTTATAGCAATTCATAATGAGGCACAGCGATTCAGTCCTTGCGCAAGCGCAGTGACGGCGCCCGAACTGGAGCTTGAGAAGGGTGGGCCTGGAACGCAGTATGCAAATGGAGCTGTTGCCAAGGCAAGCGTCCAATCCACCATAATTGCGCTTAACTTGTAATTGGGTCGATAGGAGTTGCTTTCTTGCAAGGAAACACTTGCATGCGCCTCAATAATGCAATTTTTTGGACTGGCCCCTTAACTCCTATCTACAGGTCCCTGTAGAACGCATTCGTAACTTCTCCATTATCGCACATATCGATCATGGAAAGTCAACCCTGGCTGACCAGCTGCTGCTCAAGACGGGCACCGTTGCAGCTCGCGACATGGTGGTAAGGAGGATGCTGAAGCGGGCTGCATTATGCTTGCGTGAGGGGGGCGGTGCTGCAGTAGTGTGGTTGGGGCTTGGGGGTGGCAGGGGTCGTAGGAGGGGTCACGGTGGGTTTGGGTGTTGGGGTACAACTGGCGTGTTGGATTTTCGGGCCGCATGCTTTCAAGCGAGGCTAAGCGTAACAGCGACCGTGCTAGCAAGGGCAGGAGTACAAGCCTCCCCCTCGTGGATGGGGTGGTTGATGCCTAGCTACAGGAGCTGCGTGAACAGCGCTTCAGGTGGAGGTGTTTGCACGTACGTAGGCTTCAAGCACTCCGACAGCGTACCCACACTCGCAACCACAGCAGCAGTACATGTTGGGGACGGCTCGGGGCGTCAAAGCCGCGTCTGTCGCTAGGTGCTCATCGCTCCATGTATGCAGCTCCTTAACGTGCAGTGGAAGCCTGCTCACGAGAGCGGCGCAGCGGGAAAGGCGACTCTTGAACCTTGCCACCGAATGCCGCCTCCGGTGTGCCAACAGAATGCCCCAGCCCCTTCCCAGTAGCATCCCCAATGACTGGGTGCGCCTGCGCTGAATCCACAAGCCCCAGCAAGCCAAGCCACGCAGGAGCTCACCTCTTGAGGCCCCCCTCCCTCCCTTCCTCCCTCCCTCCCTCCCGCGCCTGCCCGCCTCCCCATACCCCGCAGGAGCAATTCATGGACAGCAACGAGATCGAGCGCGAGCGCGGCATCACCATCAAGCTCAACACCGCGCGCATGAAGTACCGCTGCCAACGGGACGGAGAGCTGTACGCACTCAACCTCATCGACACGCCCGGCCATGTGGACTTCACATACGAGGTATGCATGCATGTGCTATCAATAACGTCCCTTTACGTGATGTGTACGGCAGCTGGCGGCGTGTAAGAGGAGGCAAAACCCCTCACCCCGCTCTGCAACGAACCCCTGATTGTCGGGGCAAGGCGTGGATGGCTTCACATGCCGGTGCCATCCCTACCACCTTCCTCGCACCTGAGCAAGCAACCCCGCCGCCGCCGCCTGCTGCACACCCACCCACCCCACCCTCCTCTGTCCTCCCCCACCATGCCAGGTGTCCCGCTCGCTGGCCGCCTGCGAGGGCGCGCTGCTGGTGGTGGACGCCAGCCAGGGCGTGGAGGCGCAGACGCTGGCCAACGTGTGGCTGGCGCTGGAGAACGACCTGGAGGTCATCCCAGTGCTCAACAAAATCGACCTGCCGGGTGGGTGAAGGACAAGGGAATGCGAGCTGGGTGGGTGGGTGAGCGGGTTGGGGAGGGCGGCATGGGCTTACCTCGAGAGGTAAGGTCGGGAGGCACAGATGGCGGCGTCGGGGGTTGGGTGGGGTTTAATCGAGAGCAAGTCAGATGGGGTAGAGCGTGGCTGGGTTGCTTGGCGGCTGCGCATCGCTCTGCGGGGTGTGTCGGATGCCGTGCATGTCAACAAGGGCCTCTCCCCTCTTCCTTGCATCCTACCCCTCCTCCCTTGCTCCCTTCCCCCAACCCCGCCATGTCCCTGCCCTCACCTCCCACGTGTCCACCTCCTCTTAACCCCCCATGTTCCCACACCTCCCGCCCCCTCCTCCCCAGGTGCGGACCCGGAGCGTGTGATTCGCGAGATCGAGGAAATCATCGGGCTGGACTGCTCCCGCATCCTGCGCGTGTCAGCCAAGATGGGGCTGGGCATCGAGGAGACGCTGGAGGCCATTGTGGAGCGGGTGCCGCCGCCGCCCAACCGCACCGCCGAGCCGCTGCGGGCGCTCGTGTTCGACAGCTACTACGACCCGTACCGGGGGGTGGTCTGCCAGTTCAAGGTTGGTTGAGCGGGCTGGGGATGGTAGAGGAGAGGCAGAGAGGTGTTGAACGGATAGGAATGCAAAGGAGGTTGGTGCGCAGATTGTGATGGAGTATGTTCGCACGGGCGTCCGTTCCATGTGCATGCCGCCTTCCTGCCACGCCCTTATTCCTCCCCCTCTCCCCCCTGCAGGTCATGGACGGCAAGGTGTCCCGCGGTGACGTCATCCAGATGATGAACACCGGCAAGGAGTACCAGCTGGACGAGGTGGGGGTGCTGGCGCCGCACAAGGTGCAGGTGAGCCAGCGCAGAGGGTGGGCGGGGAGGCGGGGGGCGCAGTGTAGCGGCCGCTGCGACACTGACTGGCATGCTAGCCAGCTTCGCAGCCTGCCACCACCCGCTGCACTGTCTCTGCGCACTCGTGCTGACGACTGGATAACGTCCTCACTCCTGCTCACCCGAACCCGAACCCATTCCTGCCTCCTGTCCATCCCCCCCCCAGGTTGACACGCTGTACTGCGGCGAGGTGGGCTACCTGGCAGCGCAGATCAAGTCGGTGCAGGACGCGCGCGTGGGCGACACGGTGACGCAGAAGCGCCAGCCTGCTGCCACCCCGCTGCCCGGCTACCAGGACATCCAGCCCATGGTGTACTGCGGCCTCTTCCCAACCGACTCGGATAAATACCAGGTGCGGCCCATGGTGGGAGGAGGAGGCTGGGTTTTAGGAATGTGTAGAGCTGTTTAGGAGGCGGCAGTTGTTAACCCCTCCTGTCAAGTGGCGCCTCCGCGCCCTCACCTTCCCCTGCGTGGTGAAGCCTTGTCACACGGTTACCGTGCCTTATTCCTCTTCGCACCCCCCGCTGCACCCACAGGACCTGCGCGAGGCGCTTGAAAAGCTGCAGCTGAACGACGCGGCGCTCAAGTTCGAGCCGGAGGTGAACAACGCCATGGGCTTCGGCTTCCGCTGCGGCTTCCTGGGGCTGCTGCACATGGAGATCGTGCAGGTGGGTAGTCGGGGCGGGTCAAGCGGAATGTAGTTCAGGGATACTGGCATACTGCCGCCCCTATCTCACCCTATTTTTAGCCCCACCTGCCCATAGTCCTATCCGGGCGCTACCCCGGCAGATCCCCACCCCGCCCTCTCCCTTCCCTCTCCTGCTGCAGGAGCGGTTGGAGCGCGAGTACAACCTGGACCTCATCACCACCGCCCCCACCGTGGTGTACCGCTGCAGGATGACTGACGGGGAGGAGTTCCCGGTCAACAGGTAGGTCGCGGGGGGCAAGAGGTGTGGAGGAGGGATGGCGAGGGCGGTGGCTGAAGCGAGGGACGCCGAAGACAGGGTACCCAACCGATACCGTCCTGGCTACCGAGGTGGCTATGGCCAGGGCTGACATCACCTGTAACATCTCCCCTGCTGCTGCTTCCCCTCTGCGCCGCGCCCCCCTGCTGCTGCCCGCCAGCCCCGCCGACCTGCCCGACGCCTCCCGCCGCGAGTGGGTGGCCGAGCCGTACGTGCGGCTGGAGATGGTGACCCCCACCGACTACGTGGGCAACCTGATGGAGCTGGCCAACGGGAGAAGGGGTGAGAGCTCTGTCCTTTTTACCGGCAAATGGAAGGAATGTGGGGTGGAATAGAGACAGTTAGCCCAAACCGGTTAGGGCGGTTACTATTGCAGGTAAAGGCGAGGGATGCGTGGCGGTGGGACATGCGTGAGCAGTCACAGCTGTTGCTGGCTTTTCTCTTTTTCTTCACCCTCCAATCCTCCCTTCTCCTCCTCCTCCTTCCCAAACCACCCGCCACCCCGCCGTCCCAGGTGAGTTCGTTGAGATGCGCTACCTGACCGACAGCCGCACCACGCTGGTGTTCAACATCCCGCTGGCCGAGGTGGTCAGCGACTACTTCGACCAGCTCAAGAGCCGCTCCAAGGGCTATGCCAGCATGGAGTACAAGGTGACAGGATACCGGTGAGTGGGGGTGCGGGTGGGGGTGCAGGGGTGGGTGAGCGCATGGGTGCGGGGGCCCGAGGTGTCGCTGCTAAGCAGGGGGAGCCTTTATCCGGGCCAGCGGGGCCACGATTCAGGGCCATCATTTGCATTTCTTTGCAAAAACATCATGTGTCGTTGAACATGCCTTACGCTGCTCTTCCCCTGCGCCTCCGCTCTTCCTCCTGCCAGCCAAAACGACCTAGTGAAGCTGGAGGTGCGCATCAACGGGGAGCCCGCCGACCCGCTGTCGGTCATCTGCCACCGTGACAACGCCTACCGCACCGGGCGACAGCTCACTTCCAAACTTAAGGAGCTCATTCCCAGACAGATGTTCAGGTGCGGGGGTGTGGGCGTGTGCGGAGTGGAAAGGGGTTCGGCAGGAAGAGGAGGCGCGACCCGCGCGAGCTCTGAGCAACAGGGCGTTTGGTACTGATGATACCCGTCGCTCATGCTGTAGTGGCATAGTGGACCTGGTCTAAACCTAAACTGCCCGACTATGTCAACGGCTGCACTGCTACTCGCCTACCCGACCCCACCCCGCCCCACCCTCCAGGGTGCCCATCCAAGCGTGTATCGGCACCAAGGTAGTCGCCAGTGAGGCCATCGCGCCGTACCGCAAGGACGTGCTCGCCAAGTGCTACGGAGGAGACATCAGCCGCAAGAAGAAGCTGCTGCAGAAGCAGGTGGGGCGGGGCCAGCTGCAAGGCTAACAGCATGCTGGTTCCTTTGCCTATTCAGCCTTTCATGCCCTACCGATATGTCCTTGCCGGCAACGCTGGGAACTAGCAGTTAACCAGAGTTCACCCCTCTTATGGATCATTGTACGTCCAAATCCCCCCATTCGTCTCATGCGTCCAGGCGGAGGGCAAGAAGCGCATGAAGGCGCTGGGCAAGGTGGAGGTGCCGCAGGAGGCCTTCATGGCCATTCTCAAGATTGACCGGGAGGCGGACGACTGAGGTTGTCGTTGAGGAGGCGGGCGCGTTGGGAAGGGAGTGCAGCGACGGAGGCCAGGTAGTTAAAAAAACTTAAAATCATTGAGCGCGGGCTTTGGGGTTATACTGGGAAAGGTGAGGGGTAGGACGGTATACGGCCTGGTGCAGGCCGAAGTTTTGTGCTAGGCATGAACGAATTGGGCAGGGATGTGGTGTCAAGAGAGACGAGAGCATCGAGAGTTGGGAGAGCGAGGTAGGGAGAGTGTGAGCCATCCGGGTGTTTCTCTGGGTTGTTCCATAGGGGCCGCAAGCTGATACACTTCACGGAAAGGGTGTGCTGGATTGCAACGAGTGTCAAGTGCGCGTTCCAGGTGACCGCAATTGTTGGACTGCTGTGTGAAAGTACCGTACTGGTTAACTGCAGACCGGGTGGGGGATTCGATTGGCAAGTCGGGGCACGGGGACGAGCGGCTGGATGCCTTGGAGGGGCTCTCAAGGGTACCTGTGGCTTGGCGTGGCACGAGTCAGGGAGTGGCAGTAGCATTCCTGTTTGGCACAGTGGCCGACATAGTGGGTCGTTGCAGTGCCCGCTTTTCCCACCTGACCCAAACTGCCCCACGAAGCCACAACCGACATGTCGCATCCAGCTACTCACCTTTCGCACTCATTGCCTCGCCTTCCCAGCCAAGTCCTTTCCTCCTCCGCCTGCTGGTAACCTAGGGGCAGGCAGAGATGAAGAAAAGATGATGTGCTGTAATGCCATGGTGAAGAAGGCCTGACTGGGGGCAGGAGGGGGAGGGAGTGAAGGGCAGTGTCCTTTAGGTTTCAAAGCGCAGAATCCTGGCACCAACCAAGGGCCTCGGTGTGTGCTCGCAATCACAGCAGAAATTGCAGCTTCTATCCGCAGGGCGCCCTGGAAGCAATGGGTCGCTTTGTGTCGATCATGACATTAACGGCAGCTGCAGACCCAGCAGTGGCAGCAACCACTGCGCTGGCAGCCCGGATCGGTATGAGGAGACAGTGGGCAATTTAGGGAAGCTTAGCCTTAACGAGTCCAGCCAGGGCTCCAAGATTGGGCTATTCGTGGCTGTGAAGCCCCTCCTGTGGCAGCTGCAGTCGTCTGGCTTGCTGTTGGGAGTGCTGTGTTACAGGATTACAAATCGACTATAGCTTACCGCCACGCACTGACAGCTGCCATCAGCCGTGGAAGCAGTGGGACCGGGTTGACCGACCGGGACACTAGCGGCAGCGGCGGCCCCAGCCACCAAACATTGTGGTTTGGTTTATTCTACCCCCCAGCGTAGCAGTGGCAGCGACAACAACAATATAAGCACCTCAGTTCAGGTGGAGGCGGAAGTGAGCAGGCCCAGCCAGCTCTCCAAGGCTTGGCCGTTTGTGGCTGCAAAGTCCCTCGTGCCACAGCTGCAGATGGCTGGCTTGCTGCCCGATAACATGAGAGTATATGGCATATAAGTGTCGCGTACCAGGGGTACCGCCACAGCGTGTTTGCCTGGCTGCAGACGGACGGGCGCACTTGGAGTCATGGGGGCCCTCATGGCTAGGGATTGGGCACGGTTTGGGTGTTTTCGCGTGTGGTGGGGAGCTACATTGCGGCAGGAAGCCATGTGGTAGGCTTCCATAATGTAGCTGCTGACAAGCTTAGGGTAGCGTGCCTGAGGGGATAGATCTCGCGTTTGGGCCTTGATGAAGCCGCACGTGGCCATGGTGTCATGGTGGTGATGCGCATGTACGTAACTTCAATGCTCATCAAATGTTCGATTTCTTCAGTGCTGCCTTTCTCCCATAGACTTTGTTTCTGTTTTGGGCGGACCTCGCCGTGGATGGACTTTGACGGATTGAAGCCCGCCAGAACTTGGTGGTTACGTACTCTTGTCTCTAGCCGTTTAGCTTTAGGTTACTCTTTTCTCTTCCGTTTCACTTTCTTCCTTTCTCCTCCTATTTCCAGTGTCCTTCGTAGCACCTATGCATGCCTATGGGTCTCCGGCTCCTTTTAACCTTTGCATGGCAAGTGCTTTGCCTTTATAGGGCCCTCACCGAGCCACAAGGCCAAACGGATGGCCCCTATCAAAGCAACAAACTTTCGCGCGCAGCTTGCATATGCAACGATGCGTTGCTGAGGCCGCGCTCTGCAGCAGCGTATAGTGACCCATGGGTCATCCCTTGGGACTTGTTTCAGAAGGACCCAGAATGTGGTTTAATAGGATGCATATTGATGTCTATCCATGGTATAAACCTGCTGAAAAAAACCTTTTGCTGAAGAGAGTAAAACAGCAGCTTAATCCCCATGAGTGGCAAGTGAGTAAGCAACCCTACAGTGGGGTACTCCCGTACAAATCTACGAAGCCCCGGCAGTCAGCGAGCGTTGTATAGTCTTTGACGCACTAAGACTATTACCTCCAGTAAACCTACTGCGGTCTTCGGGCGTCCAAGTAAACACTATCTCCGCTTTAGATGAACTGTCACAACCTCTGCTAAGCAATACTAGCACGGATAGCTGCGAAAACTCTTATTCCTATGCTTCGTGCTTCCGTGTGAAAAGAATGCTACCGGAAGCCCGTGCAGACGGAGCGCTGTTGGCTGTAGGTGCCGTAGTCAACGACTTGCAGATTGACGACTTAGCACCAGAACGGGACGCTCACAGGAAACTCAAAGAGGGTGTGGCAAGCAACAAACCCAAAGCAAACGCTGCTTTGCCTGCGACGCTTGGTGCGGCTGCGGGTGCGCGAGAGATTGCTCCAAATGACGAACTTAAAGAGTCGGATGAACGCGAGCGCAGAGACTTTAAACCGTCAACAGGCCTGACCTCGGCAGGTGAGATGGTAGCACTCGGATGGGTGTCGAAGCGCGTCCTCCAACATGTTGCCGTACTCCAGTGAAGGCAGTGCGGTGGAATGCGTTTGCCATGCACTCCCCTGACAGAGGCCGCAGAGAAGCTACGGCAGTATGGCCGCAACGAGCTAGTGGAAAAGCGCACTCCGTCATGGCTCGTGTACCTTAAGCAGGCGAGTGCTGGGCAGCGCCGGTGGGAACTTGCCTTAGAGCTGACTGACTTCCACCAAGCCTCCGGCAGTGCAGTGTGTAACGTCGCCTGGCCTGCCGCAACCCTAGCTCTACTACTCTCATCCAGCCTCCTCACCCTTGCAGCTGTCGGCCCCCATGCCTATCATGATCTGGATCGCCGCCATTATCGAAGCGACTATTCAGAATTGGGTCGACATGGGCATCCTGCTGGGCATCCAGTTTGTAAACGCGACGATCGGATGGTGCGGGGAGGCGTGCAGGAGATGAGGGCACATGAGTTGTGGATATGGGCTTTTTACCATGGCATGGCCTGCCAATTTCGTGTTGTACGGACTTCAAGCCGGTTTAGGGCTATAGGCGATCCTTTTCCTGTCCGGATGCCATCTGTTACCTCGTGATCTTTGCATACAGCTCCTCTTGAACCCCTGTTAACCACGAACTACCACTCAACCTCTCAGGTATGAGACCACAAAGGCCGGCAATGCGGTGGCAGCGCTCAAGGCGTCCCTCAAGCCGCAGGCGACCGCCAAGCGCGACGGCTCCTGGGTTACCATGGATGCCGCTCTCCTCGTGCCTGGCGACCTTGTCCTGATCGGTTCCGGAGCCAGCGTGCCCGCGGACTGCATCATCAACCACGGCAACGTGGATGTGGACCAGTCGGCGCTGACGGGCGAGTCGCTGCCCGTGTCCATGCACGAGGGCGACATCTGCAAGATGGGCTCCACGGTGGTGCGCGGCGAGACGGAGGCCACGGTGGAGGTGAGCGGCAGGGGCAGGCTGGCGGGGGTGCAGTGGCGGCAGTTAGGGAACGTGGCAGCCTCCCTACGCAGTCATGTTGCCAAGATTACGGCATCCTTCTTGATGTTGCATTGCTTGCACTGCCAGCAGGACAGCTTTCCTTCCGTACAATCGCAATCCTGATTCTTGTGTTGCGTGTTTGCCTGTGCCCAGTTCACCGGCAGGCACACCTTCTTCGGCAAGACCGCGGCGCTGCTGCAGGAGAGCTGCAATGAGATGGGCCACCTGCAGAAGGTGCTTCTGCGCATCATGCTTGTCATCGTGATGGCGGCGCTGGTAGTGTGCGGCATCACCTTGGGCTACCTGCTCGGCCGCCACAAGAGTTTCGGAGTGGCGCTGGACTTTACAGTTGTGCTGCTGGTGGCATCCATACCTGTCGCCATCCAGGTGGTGTGTACGACAACACTGGCGCTCGGTTCGCGGCAGCTGAGTGCGCATGGCGCTATCGTGACTCGACTGGCTGCCATTGAGGACATGGCTGGCATGAACATGCTCTGCTCGGACAATACCGGTACCCTGACGCTCAACAAGATGGTCATCCAGGTATCGGACGGGGATAATATGGGCACGGGGATTTGCGCCATGGCACATCTCGATTGTTGTGCGTCCAAAACCACCGACCGTACAAGACCAAACGATGAAGCAGAAACCAGAGCGTGCACGCAAGCGCAATGTTCGCTCCGCTACATCAGCAGGAATCCTTGTTGCGCCTCCTCCTCTTTCCCAGGATGAGACTCCTACCTACATGCCGGGCATCAGCCAGCGAGACGTACTGCAAATGGCCGCCCTGGCCGCCAAGTGGCGCGAGCCTCCCCGCGACGCCCTCGACACGCTGGTGCTGGGTTCTGCAGATCTGCCTGCCTTGGAGGATTACCAGCAGCTGGAGTACATGCCTTTCGACGCGCACTTCAAGCGGACCGAGTCAACCATCAGGGCCCCGGATGGCAGTGTGTTCAAGGTAGGCCGGTGTAAAACAGCACATGAGGCCCAGGTCCGTACAAAATTGGCCCGGTCCCAGCAGTACACGGGGGTGCACGGCGTGGAAGTGCAGCACCACGTAGCACTTGCTTGTTGGTGCAAGTATCTGATAGGTTGAGCACTGGTACGTCGAAATAGGCGCTCAAATGCTCGCTTAGACCTTGCATGCTCAGTATCTTGCCCACGTCTGGTCCACATATGCTAATATCACGTTGCACGTGCATGCATGTTCCAAGATCCCTTTCCTCCTACCTCAGGTGACTAAGGGTGCACCCCATGTAATCCTGGCCCTGCTGCCGCCCTCCGACCACGCCATTCTCGAAGCTGCGGAGGCGCATGTGCATGCGCTGGGGCAGCGGGGCATACGTGCTCTGGCGGTTGCACGTTCTGATGGAATTGACGGTGAGGGGCATTGTACTTTGTACACCACTGACTGGAGGGGTTGCGGCTTGGGTACGTGGGAGGTTCACCTTCAGGCCGGCTGGGAGGAAAGTGCCTTACTTTGCAAGACGAGGTTTAGCTCTTGTTGCTGGATGTGATGCATACACGTGCATTGCGTGGGTGGGTTGCGTTGCGTGGGAAAGGCATGGTACAATGGTGCTCTCAGTGGCCCGTCCTCATCTTCACTCGTCTGTGCACCATGGGAATCGCCGCGCAGGCCCCTGGCAGATGCTTGGCCTCCTGACCTTCCTGGACCCCCCGCGCCCGGACACCAAGCGCACCATCGAGCGGGCGCTGGAGTTCGGAGTGGACGTGAAGATGATCACCGGTGACCACCTGCTCATCGCAAAGGTGGGGATGACACCGGAGAAGACTGAGCGGCCTGACGGGGATGGGTGCAGGGGCTAATGTTGTTCGGAAGGTTAGGTTTTCCACGCACCACCCTGCATGGCTTCAGCTCGTTTCCCACCCACACCCCGGCGTCACAGTTGTGCGCAAATGTCCAAACCTGCA